GGGAGAGGGAGAAGCAGGCTCCCCGCTCAGCAGGGAGCCCAATGTGGGGCTTGATCCCAGGACCCTAGGATCATGACCTGAGCCAAAGGCAGATGCTTAACGACTGAGCCACCCAGGCGCCCCGAATTCAACCATTTTTGTAGCTAATTCTCATTACTCATAGTCAAAACTTCAATTACCTTTTAAATTCTTTCTTTGCTAAAGGAGTCAAGTAAGATATATGCTGCATTTAGGTATTGATATTTTATGCTGATAATTGTGAAATCTGTGTAAAAAAAAAAACCACCCATAGTTTGTAGAGTAAATCCTTTAACTAAACAAGGTGAGAATCTTAATCACTGTGACTAGAAGTAGAATTCATATCTACAAATTTCAAATTACACTTCCTATTGTCACAAATGGCATTGTCTCATTCTTTTTTACGGCTGAGTAAAATTCCATTGTGTACATATACCACATCTTCTTTATCCATTCATCTATCAAGGTCCTAGAGGGTACTATGCTAAGTGAAATAAGTCAGACAGAGAAAGACAAATACCATGATTTCACATATACGTGGAATCTAAAAAAACAACCAAACAAACAAAACAAACCAGACTCTTGAATACAGAGAACAAACTGGTGGTTGCCAGAGGGGAGGTGAGTGAGAGGATGGGCAAAATAAAGGGGATTAAGAGGAACAAGTTTCCAGTTATAAAATAAGCAAGCCACAGAGATGAAAAGTACAGCATAGGGAATATAGTCAATAATATTGTAATAACGTTGTATGATGACAGACGGTGACTACACTAATGGTGAGCACTAATATATAAAATTTTCAAGTCAATATGTTGTACACTGAAACTAATATAGCATTGTATGTTGATTATACTTCAATAAAAAAACAAATTATAGGGGCGCCTGGGTGGCTCAGTTGGTTAAGCGACTGCCTTCAGCTCAGGTCATGATCCTGGAGTCCCGGGATTGAGTCCCGCATCGGGCTCCCTGCTCGGCGGGGAGTCTGCTTCTCCCTCTGACCCTCCTCCCTCTCATGCTCTGTGTCTCTCATTCTCTCTCTCTCAAATAAATAAATAAAATCTTAAAAAAAAAAAACAACAAATTATAGTTATTTTGAGTAAATATCTGCTATTATCATATTTAAGATAAATTATTTAAATGCATTAAATTATTCAGTTGAAGTTAAATGACCATATTTCTTCCCCAGCCCTCCACACTTTAACATCTTTGATATGGATAATTTACAAAAAATGGTATCTTGGCATTGTATCACATTTAGTGCTTTTCTTCCTTAGTGGTACTTTAAATAATAGTGAGTTTTACAATCAAGGGCATCTTAAATTGGATGAGATGTAGTACACACAGTTTTAATGAGTGGTTCCTGGAATTAACAGTAGCCTATACTACTTATACCTCTATTCCAAGAATCTAAAAATTAAAAATAGAGGCATTGCTTAATTTTTTAATTAAATGTGTTGATAAGGGTGAATGTTGTATCATTACTCTTTTTAAAATTCTAATACATGTATTAATAGTACTATGAAATTATTTTAAGCAATTTACCTACCTGCAAGTAAAGGTGATCTCATTTCCATTACTCCTACTGAAGGGCCACTGATTGATCGAGGTTGTGGAGTTACTGGAGCTGGCAAATCCCCCATTAAAAATCCAGGTAAGAACTGGGCATTAACCCCTGGCTTTGGAGATGTTGGTGAACCTAGCATCATTGGTTCAGATCCTAAATGAAGCAAAAAATAAAACGAAGGACCTCAAAGTTACAATATCTAACAAAAAGATGCAAGAATCTAGCATAAATAATTTTGAGAATGTAATCAAAACTTATATATTACAGAAGCACAGTTGAATTTATTATTTTAAAAGCCAATAAAAATTTCTATAAAAATGTAGAAGTATTTTTATTAACAATATTAATCTGCCAGTTGTTCTTGTTTACATTATTTCACAGGTTTACGAATCAACATTTATTTTTAAATGGAAAAATTTTGCATTACCTTAAAAAAATTCTTACTACACACAGAATAACTTCTGGGTCAGCTTCTACTATGCAACAAGCAAAAACAAGGGCAGGGTGCACTAGTTACTTACAGAAAGTCTGAGCAAATCAAACACAGTGGGTTTAGCTTGCTATATGTCCCATTTTTTTTCTTTCCCACAAAAAAAAACTGTAAATCATTTGTGTAATAAAAGTAAAATCATGCACACATTAGAGCACATATAAAATAATAGTAATGACTAGCATCCCAACTAAGAAACACTGATAAATTTGGAAAGTTTATTTTTTGGATCATTCTTTAAAGTAATTTTAAAGTTAGGAATAATGAACAAAAGTCTCCCCAACATAAAACCAATTTAAAGAGAGCTGATATTTCACAATCATCAATTCAAAATTAATTTTCACAATTTACAGGGTAGGTATTATTATTCCCACTATGAAGATAAGGAGTCTATAACCTACTCTAATTTCAGAGCAAAATAGCATGGTAAGGAAAGCATGGGCCCTGGAGTCAGAGACCTGGGTTCAAGTCTCTCGGCAAAAAGGGCATAAACGTAACACTCAGTCACAGAGCTTTGCTTAGAATTATAGCAAATATAGCACTTGACCCAGTATCTAATATACAGTAAGTGCTCAGCAAACATTAGTTATTATTCTAAGGTTATCTCAGAATAGCAAAAACTAAGTGACTAAAATGTAAATGCAGAGTTTGCAATTTCTGCTTATGAAAACTTAAGTTTTCAACTATGTGACAAGCCTGAATGTGATTCATGGCACTCAAAAAGGTCAAACATTTGATGTATTATTTATAATGGTTAACTATTCCTTGACTTTTAAGCAGCCTCAAAAATTTGTTTCTTGCTCTCCAAATGCAGTCAATTATTTACCCTTCCTCATTACAGCAGACCTAGATATTAACAATGCCAATGCAAGTGTATAAAAGAGGAAAAAGGCAAAGTAACTCAGGAAAAAATAAAGCAAATACTGAAATAAGTTGTGAAGAACTGTAACTACATTGTAATTATTTTAAAGTGCTATGTTACTATGTTACCATTACATATTTCCAAAGAACATACAGACCAAAGTCTAAACAATGGGATATTCTGAACAGATCTTTAGAAACCTATAGCAGTAAGTACAAAGTTTTAGGTACCACCAACTACCTCATTCTCCCATCCCCCAAAAGAAAAACACATATATGGTAATTGTAAGAAGAATTAAGTCAAGAAAAGTTCTGATATATACTGTGATACACTAGAAAGCACCAGAGTGAGGGCACAAAGGGGTCTTAATCCACCTGTTACTAACCACCCCTCAGTCTAAATTTCACTTGGAGAGCTATCACAGTGGATCCTGCAAGTCTTAAATTCCATTTCATGGTTTGTACACATAAAATGGTAAGTCCTAGGTCTTACTCAGCTAGCACTGTTTGCTCAAGTAACCCTTAATTTTAATATAACATTAGGTGCTGGGAAAATTATTTATTCTTCACCTGCAATACCTGCAATATGTGGACTTGAACAATTAATATCAGCAAATGTCGGCTTTCTAACCAGACAATGAACAGGGACAAGTTTATTCACATTTGCAGCCCCAAGAAATAGTATGACTACCAAAATGTTTTGTTGAATAGAACACTTTGGAACTGGAAATGAATGGTCTCCTGCTCTCTAAAATAACACAAAACATAAATACCTAGACCAATATCTGTACATAAGTTTAAAGGTAGCAGAGTTTAAATGTCTGCACTGACATTATGCATTTAGTTTTTATGACTAATACTAAAACAATTCAAGTTTACCCTAGTCTCAAAAGAAACATTTTGCACAAAGCATGGCAAGCACTAAACACCCTTCAAATCTAAAAACACCCAAAAAACTCATTCTACAACACATATCGCGCTTGCTCTCTTTTCCAAGCTCCGAATGTTGTAGCTTAATTTTCAAATGCGTCTCTGTGATAGCAATTTTCTGCTCTAAAAATTTTGACGGTTCTCACAAGTGCCAAAAGTCAGGGGGAAAAAAAAAAGGAAATCGACATCCTGTTCACTTTTCTTTTTCAACTACAACATTTTCAGCAAGGCTCTCCGTTAAACAATGGAAATTTTTTTAAAAATTCATTACGTGACAGATTAGTAGAAAAGACCTCCTACAAAGTCACTTCCCCAAGATAAAGGCGGGAAAATGGTACGAACTGCTGGCCTCCTATTAACGCCAATATCTCCATAGCTATCATCAACGGGTTAAATGTCACACGATTCAAGTTTCTATTAATAACAGATTCCTTTTACAAGGCCCAGGAGAGGGAAAGAATCAAACAGGAACTAAAAGCCCTGGTGACCAAAGAACCGTAAACTGTAACCACATTCCAGGGCACCGCCCACCCACGTGTACGCCGGTCAGTTCCTTCCCACCAAAGCCTCTGCGAATCTGGGAACCCAGCATTGCGTCCCCAGCCCCGGGAGGGTCTCAGGTATGGGCAGGTCGAGCGCAGCCCCCGTGTGGGGGTAACAAAACGGCGTAGTAACCCCTCGACAGTCATTTCCACACCCTACCCAGAGCCCGCAGCTTCCCGGAGCCGCCTTGCTGGCTGCAGGGTGGCGACGCCCTGAGCAAGGGGACAACTAGAAACTTGGGGGTGAACCAGGGGCTTGTCCCCGCGACCGAAACTAGCAAAGAGCCTGATGACTACTGGCTTTCACTCTTGCTTGCTCCCAGGCCTACGGCGTGGATCGCAGCGCCAGAGAGAAAAAGCAGTTTTTCACTCACCCAACGTGGGCGCCTGCGGTTCCACAGCAAAGGCTGCCATCGCAGCACCAACTACACTTTGCCCCGGACCTTCCCGATTTTCAAAAATGGCGGAAACTCTCCCCACGGGTAAGGGCGCGCTGCCTTATGAGGTTGCGTAACTTCCGGACTTGCGCTGTACGTGTGCTGTGGGCGCTGCAGCCGTCATTTTGGAAACGGGCGAAGGTCTTTGCACAGTCTCTGCATTTCCAACAAGCGGTTAGCGGGGAATGTGAAGAACCACGGTAGAACGATGGTTCTGGGGACGCTGTGCGCCTCCTGAGTTGTTGGTGCTTGAGTTTCCTGGAAGCACAAGTTCTTTTACTCACGGTTTTATAATTAGCGTTGAGTTTACCCAGTACCCTGTCATCTTTCAGCTTTTCCAAGGGACACCTGGAAAAATTACCGTAATGAGCAGTTGGTGCCGTTTTCCAATATTGATTTCGGGCTTAGAGTATGAGTCCCATTCTCAAAGTGTACTTCCTACCGTCTCTATGCCATTTAAAAAAACACGTTATTATAGAGGCATAATTTAACATTAACATTAAGCATAATGCATATGCCTTTTTGTTACATAGAAAAGATTTTAAACGACAATGAATCATGGAACACTTCATCTAGAACTAATGATGTAATGTATGGGGATTAACATAAGAATAAAAAAAAAGAATAAAAAAAGAAAAGATTTTAAACGATGTATGATAGTAATGAACACACGTGAACCCAACACACTGGAGAACACTGTGTGCTCTTTCCATCCTCCCCCCACTTTGCTGCTTTTCTTTAGAGGGTCTTCAAATATAGGTTACACACACTCACATTCTATATCTTTATGTGCAAAAATATGTTTAGTTTTGCTCACTAACTTTATGAAAATGATATGCTGCATGTATATATTTTGACATGCTCTCTGCTCCATAACAAATTCATTATACTCTAAATATCCACCCATCCTCCCTCCCTCTTTCCTCTGGGATTTCCTGAAATCCCAAATCCAGCAAGAATGTTGTAATTGAGTGAGGCAATAACAATTCCAGCATTACTTAATTTCTGGCAAGTTCCCAGAAACCAAACTTAAAACCAATTTATTTTTTTTTAACAGATGTGGGGGTTGAATTGTGTCCTCAAAAAGGTATGTTCAAGGTCTAACTTCCAGTACATATATATGTGACCTTATTTGGAAATAAGGTCTTTGTAGATGTAACCAAGTTCAGATGAGGTCATACTACATTAGGACAAATTTGGCGGCTAAACCAACAAAAATTTATCTTTTATAGTTCTGAGGCCAGAAATTTGAAATGAGTCTTATGGGGCCAATATCAAGGTGTCAGCAAGACTGGTTTCTTCTGGAGGATTCAGGGGAAAATCTATTTCCTTGGACTCATAGCTCCTTCTTTCCAGTGGTATAGCATCTTCTATCTATAGCATCTTCTTCTATAGCATCATATCTCCTTCAAAGCCAGTAGTATAGCATATCTTCTATCTTCCTGACACTGCTTCTCTCTGCTTCTGGCATCACATGCACTTCTTCTGTCGTAAACTCTCCCTGTCCCTTCCTCTGATAAGGACATTTGTGATTATATTTAGGGCCCACTGAGATAATCAAGGATAATCTTCTCACTTCAATATCCAGTTGTACTGAGTAAGTCAATAGTCATATCTGCAAAGCACCTTTTGCCATGTCAGGTAACATTCATAGGTTCCAGAGATTAGAGTGAAGATGCCTTCCGGGGCTATCATTCAGCCCAACATACCCACCAAACCCCTTTTTAGAATGAAGGTACTGGGCACCTGGGTGGCTCCGTCGGTTAAGCATCTGCCTTCGGCTCAGGTCATGATCCCAGACTCCTGGGATCAAGTCCCACATCGGGCTCTCTGCTCAGCAGGGAGTCTGCTTCTCCCTCTCACTCTCCCTCTCTCTCAGATAAATAAAATCTTTAAAAAAAAATAGAATGAAGGTACCAAGAAGGGTTCATAAATGAAGGAATTTCTATATAAATTGTGATGTAGCCAAACAAAAGAACACTATACACCTGTTAAAAAGTATGAGATATATTTGATGAGTGTGTATATTGACCTAGAAAAATCTTCATGATTGATATACTGAAAGAAGCAATTTGAAAAATATATATGGCATTTTATCTTATTTCTTTAAAAGAATATTTGGATACATATGCAAAGGGGTGGGGGGAATGCTTATTTAAATAAAGGAAGAAGTTGAAAAACATTTGTGCCAAACTATTAACAGGGAAGATGGAGTGGGAGAGGGGTTTGTAGAATGGAGTGCTTAAGAAGGACCTTTAACTTATTCTTTATAACTTTTTAGTGGTTGATTATAGGTGCTATTTACTATTGTTATTGTTCTTCCAATTTGGGGGGCACCTGGGTGGCCCAGTCGGTTAAGCGTCTGCCTTCAGCTCAGGTCATGATCTCTGGGTCCTGGGAAAGAGCCCTGCATCAGGCTCAGCAGGGAGTCTGCTTCTCTCTCTCTCTCCCTCTGCCTCTCCCCACCACTCGTTCTCTCTGTCTCAAATAAACAAAATCTTTAAAAAAAAAAAAAAGCAACTTATTTTTTTTTGAAGAAAGAAAGTCATTTTCCTTTCTTCACTTGCATTTCAATCTTCTACCCTTTCAACTTGCTCTTTCTTATCAAGTTATAAAGATGCCCAGTTTGCCCTATCAAAAAACCTTCTCTAGACCTTGTTCCTTCTTCTAGATACCATGCACTAATTTCACTCACATTCTTCTCTTTTTTTCAAGATCTCAAAAGAAGGGTCTGTAGACTTTAGTAGATGATCTCTTTCCCTAACATCTCCATCTCGTTTTTTAATTCTTTACATACTGGCCCCTGTGTAAATCCTCTTTTGAAACCACTGACGCCAACTCTTTTTCCTAATTGCCAAGTCAAGGCCTGCCTCTTTGACATCTGCAGTATTTAACAGCTTTGACAATCTTTTCCTCAATACAAATGTTTTTTCCTATTTTGGTGATGCTACATTTTCTATTTCTCCTTACAACTTTCTCCTCTTTCCCAAACTTTTCCGTACCTGATTCCATTTCATTCTAACCTGGACATATTATTGTTAGTCAAAACTTGGTCCCCCCTCTCTTCTCATCTGTGCAGTTGATGCCCTACCACTAAGGCCAAATGCTACTTTTCTAGATGCTTGCTGAACAATCTACCACCATATAAAACCTCAAAAACAAACTCATCTTACCCCTAAAACCAGCCCCATTGCATTTGTCCCTTTTTCTTTTAGTCTCTTAGAAACCCAAAATTAAAATCCTAACATGTTAAAGCAGAATTTAAGGTCAAACAGACTTGAATTCAGAGCCCAACTTGCCCACTTAAATCCTATATTACTTGGATTTGTACTGAATATCTCCAGATTTTATTTTCTGTAAAATAGAAACAATACCTTAAAAGGTAAACTACAATCTTTAACAATATTTCATGTTCACCATATTCTTCTATACATGAATATTATTATCTTAATTACAATACTTGTTTTCCTACTTTCCTTTCTGAACATATTAAATAAAATTTCCCATAAAGTGGAACACCTATTCCCTAGTTCTATTCTGGATTCATGGTTCCCTGAAGCCTGCCCTCTGATGACATAAGATTTCATCAAAGTGCTATTTTTGTAGACTACTGATATTCAAACTTAGATGAGGGAACCCTTTCTTTAAACAAAGTATGGTGCAGATACTACATACAACAGAAGTGCTCTTGTTGGAAAAAAATGGGAAGAATATGAGGCCCCATTAACTCATCAGGCTCTTGTGCCCTAAACTGTCTATGGACTATCACACCTCCAGGTGACCCCTGAAACCCCTGGGTAGACTACTTGGGGCTACAGAGAGCCCAACTTGAAAATTAGTTCTGGGCATTATGTATATTTCAACTTTCTTCTAAAGTCAAAACAAATTTGTTAGAATTCAGAAATATATGAAATCTCAAAATTTATTTATGTTCAATATATTTGATATATTCACAGCCAAACTGCTGTGATATATATATATATCATATATACTCAGTACTGATATATATATCATATATACTCAATACTCAGTACCTACTTATGTTTATCAATATCCAGTATTTATATATAAGCATAAATTCATTCTCATAAAAGCTCCCCACTCCCCGCTCAGTCTATTCTAAAAATAAAAACAAAGAACTTTTTAAAAGTAAAGTGGAGGAAAAAAGATATCCACCTTTAAGAAAACTTTAAGAATAGGACAGTTTATCACCTTCAGAAAGAAAGCAAGGAGAGGAAGCATCTTATCCATGTTCTCCTCATCTCAGCCTTTGGCAGTTTGTGTAGCATGGTCTGCCGGTCACTTAGACTGTGATGTCACATAAAGCACACAGAGGAGTCATGACTTCATAGGGCCCAAGGACAAGTGATCTCCAAGAGACTTTTGTGATTTTTAAGATGTAGGGAACATGTCTAGAAAAATACAAATCCATTAGTTACTATTTGCATTATCTGACTTCTATAAATAATCACCAAAGCTATGTCTTTATAAATTAAAAATAAACTATTACATTTAGGAATGTATGAGTTTTGTCTTATCATTTCATTACAGTAAACAACTGGCAGAAAGGGGGCAGCTAAATGTCAGGAAACATCAAGTTAGCTGATTCACCTGTTGTTTTTAAATCAATTAAATGGTTCCTTGCATCTGTTGGAAGTGAAAAAGTAACACCAAAATTTGTATAACTTTGAGAGGGAGGGATGAATAGGTGCAACCGAGAGGACTTCTAGGGCAGTGAAACTACCTTGTATGATACATAATAGTGGATACATGTCATTACAAATTTGTTCAAACCACAGAATATACAACAGGAAGAGTGAACCCTAATATAAACGATGGATTTTAGATGATAAGGATGTGTCAGTGTAGGTTCACCAGTCATAACAAATGTACCATTCTGGTGGGAGGTGGTGGGGAGGGCAGCATGGGCACAGGGCATGTGGGAAATTAGCTGTGAATTTAAAACTGCTCTAAAAAATAAGGTATATTTTTTAAAAACTCATATAACTTTCAGGTGTAATTTTATTCCTTGCTTTTATATTAGAACTATCATATAGATTTAATCAGATATTTGA